GATCAAGTAGATCTATGAAAACATGAAAATCTTGAAAACTGACGGTCCAAAAATGCATTACAAGATGTACTATTTCCAAAACTTGAAATCCATTTTCTTTCTCATGTCTATGCTACTTGATGTCGAGATGATCAATATAAGGATATTTAGGCATCAAAACAATCTCTCCTAATGAAATTTTTGAGGTGGGCTCTAATTTGATTAATTAGGGCCTATATAATTTTTTCCCTTGTCTAAAGATTATCACATCATCATTGGGAACAAATTAAGAATCTTGATTTAACAAAAAAATTTCACAAAAAATTTCACCAATAAATTCCCTTAAAAAAGTGTATTCCCTAAATCATCCAATTTGACAAATATCACTTTGACGATATTTGCGTTTTTTTTTTTTGGTTTTCTTTTCTTTTATGTGGTTTCTACCCACTCTTTTTCTTTCTCTAAAGGCCAGTCCTTCCTATCTATTTTCTCCAACAGTTTTCTCTCTTACTCGCACTTCTCTCCATCTCTTTCCATAGATGAATCTATCTCCCAATCCGAAGTTGTTCTATCCTAAAGGAGCTTCCATTGAGAATTCAGAATATGCAAATCGACAATTTATCATTTATATATGGATGTCACAATCGTTCCCACAATCCCATTCATTAGATGTCAAATTAGATGATTTAGGGAGAGTCACGAAGTCCGAGAATTATATTTTTTAGAATTTTGTTTCTATTTAGTAACACTCTTATAACCACCCATTTTAAAATTTGAGGATAATAATGATAATAACTTCTATGTACTAAAGATGAATAGTTTCTTTATAAACAATCCCAATAAAATAAGTAAAAAGAAATACACAAAACATTAGATGTCTTATAGAGTCTATTACACATAGACATGGTTGCCTACGGATATTGAAGAAGCGGGGCCAGAAGGGAGATCTAAAGGGCTTCAAAACAGGGAAATGGGGACGTTCTCTACAAAACTCTAATACGATTGAAATACAAAGTGAAAGGCTTTCCATTATGCAGCAATAGAGATAAGAGGGCGGCCAACTCCTAGTGGGAATTAGAAGATAATGAAAGTCCCCTCTCTAACACTTATTATATGGGAAAAGTTTATATAGAGGCGAGGTTCTAAACAATCAAATTTGAGCCTACCTCAAAATTTTCATCAGAAGATGTTGTTTTGATGTCTAAATATCCTCAAATTGATCATCTCGACATCAAGATGCATAGGCATGAGAAAAAAATGGATTTTAAATTTGGAAAATAGTGTATTTTGTAATGCATTTTTGGACCGTCAATTTTTAAGATTTTCATGTTTTCATAGATATGTAGATCTACACTATTTTTTTATATTTAAATCTTATAAATAAAGATGAAAATATATTTTAAAGCTATCACAAAGATTTCCAGTATTGAAACTACATTTCTTGATACTATTTGAAGGTAAGTTCTAATTTGATTGTTTAGAGCCTAGGCTCTATACAAACCGCATCTATTATATTGGCTCTATATCTTCCAAGCTATCAGTGGGATTAAAAAGCACATATGCGACTAAGGTATGGGGTTGCTACTACCACGAATGAAGAAAGTCTTACTTCTCTATGTCTAAACCCTATCTTGAATTACAAGATTAGATATCTCTCTATCATAAAAATCATTATATCATAAGAAGAGATAGCAACTGAAAATTACCCTAAAGCTCTCCCTTAGATCTTGTTATTGATAGTGAGAGACTCTGGAAAAGAGAAAATTTTGGAGAGAGAGATTTTATATTGGTTTGCCTAAAAGCTCATCCTTGAAGGTCCTTGTGTCCTCTTCAGCTTGGACTTTTAGTTTGAAGAAGAGAGAAGGATGTGGGTGAAGATGGGAGATAATGAACCAAGAAAAGAAAAGAAAATTTCATCATGAAAACAACTCCAGACTCTCTTTAACCCACTAGCTCCCAGGTCCCATTTAAAGCATAAGTGTCTAGATTACTTCAACCCTCAGCATCAGTGTCTTCAGGGAAAAAAGGACATTGGAAAACTTTTACATCGATCATCTCGACTTAAACATTACACTTATGAAAAAAATGAGATTTCAAGATCTAAAAGTAGTGTATATTATAACAAATTATCTTGAGTGTTTATTACGCCTTAAAAATAAGTGTTCACAGATCTGCAAGATCTGTATCAATTTGTTAGTTTAAAATTTTATTTTCGATGTTAGAAATTGATTTTAGAGCCATCATTGAGATTTCCGTCAGCGAAAGTACTTTCCGAACAAGAATTTGAGGTGAGGCTTTATTTTGTTCTCAAAAAGCCTAAGCCTTATATAAATCTCATCCTTGTTCAGGGTTTTTCCCTTCGTTGTTATTATATTGATTTAAAGGGACGACAGGGGGGGCACATGTAAGTGGATAGTCCAGATTTCATGTCTGTGATTATATACCTTCAGATCTGGGTAAGCCATACATGTTACAGAAAATAAGGAGAAAAAAATAAAAAATAAAATAAAAGAAAAAATAAAAAAAAGAAGTAGTGAGAGGCCATCCCTAATCAACTTTTGTATATATAAGCTAATCTTGCATGTGTACAGCCTAGGAGAAAAAAAATAAAAAACTAAAAGTGAGAGGCCTCCCTAATCTATATAAGCTAATCTTGCATGTCTACGGCCTAATAGAAAAATAATAATTCAAATGATTAAAAAAAAAGTACTAAATAACTAAATTTAGCCAAAAGTTATTCTAGTCCCATGAGGTAGAATGTTTTCCTTTATCCCCTTGGTAAAATCCCTCTTAGAATTAATTATAGGATGTCGAATTTTGGGTATAAACGTATCTTCAACCTAAAGATTAACCTCAATAAATAAATAAATAAATAAGAAAAAAAGAAAAGAAAAAAAGAAAGAATATGGTAGCCCTAAAAAATCAAAGGAAAGCTTACCTCCAAACAGCGTCAGAAGATGGTTTTTCAGTAATAAAAATCTTTGTGAGGGTCTGAAAAATTTATTTTCATCTCTAATTATAAAATTTAAAGCTCTAAAAAAAGTGTAGATTGAGCAGATCTATAAACACTTAAAAATATTGAAAATTGACTGTCAAATAATGCATTACAAAATATACTACTTCACATACTTGAAATCCATTTTTTTTCATGTTTATACATTTCAAGGTCGAGATGATCGATTCACGTGTTTTTTGACATTGGAACAACCTCCTCTATTGAATTTTTTAGGTGCACATTAATTTGATTGTTTAGGACCTCAATTTTATATAAACTTTTTTCATTAAAAAAGTTCCCTAAATGTACCCTATATGCACTAGAAAAAAATGATGTCTCGAGATTAAATAGAGACCACCCAAGTTTTAGATGGTGAGCTCTAAGTGTTAGAAAACTCTTTTTTTTTTTTTTAGAATAATTATCTAATAATTCTCAAGTTGTTCCTAAAATTTCTGATTGAAAAAATTACCGAAGGAGTAGAAGTAAACTACGCTCCCGAGGGAGCATAGTATACATGCTCAATTTAAGTGATAGAAGTAAATTTGAACCGGAGAAAGTACTTGTAATTACAAAAATTGTATTAATGTCAGTTTTACCTTCGAGATTTTTAGAGTACGAATTTAGGTATTAGAGCAATTTAGAAGGAACTACCAGAGAGACATGGCCTTACAAAAGAAATTCGTGGTAAGTTTTTTTAAAAATAAATAAGTAAAATATCTATTTGTAGATGTGAAAACAAATGCAACAATACATTAAAGTCAGGTCGACGCATATTCAATTTGTGTTGTTGAGTTGATAATATTCCATGGCCTAGTGGAGTGTTACGATTCACAATATATTTATTTTAGAGTGCGGTTTATAGAAGGCTTCCACCTTAAACAATCAAAGTGAGGTACACCTCTAAACTACGTCAAAAGATGGAGTTACGGTATCAAAAACTCTTAAGATGACCTAAAAACCTATTTCTGTACTATGAAATGTAAGGCTCCTAGTGTAGATCGAGTGGATTTATAAGCACTTGAAAATATTGAAAATGAACGGTCTCCATAATACATTGCAAAATACATTATGTTAATACTCATATCCATACATCTCGAGGTTGAAAAGATCAATCTCTATCAACATTGGAATTACCTTTTTAGATGCGTTTTAAAGTACAACTAACTTCAACACCTCATATAAAATTTTCCCTTTATTTTATGGGATTGTATTAGTTGCAACACCTTACATAAAAACTTATTTTTATTTTATGGGATTATATATTATAAGACTATTTACTTTTAGTATAATTAGGACACAATTATTGTTACCCATTGGATGTGAAACTTTACAGCTCAAGGTGCAATAGAAAGTTCAAGAAATTTTATTTAAGATATTGTGCCTATTAAGTGACAATACTACCAATCACCCAATTTCACACCTAATGGTCAAATAGGATAGGCGATCATTTTATACTGATTGCAAATGGCCTTATTTTATATGTTTTCTTAATAAGAAAAAGTAAAGAAAGAAATAAATAAAAGTAAGAAATACAGAGGAATAGGATATGCTTGCATGGGAAAACCTCCTTCCCTAGTACATTGAGAAGAGATTCTGCCCGCAAAAAGAACAATGGTCTAGGTCACTGGTCCAAATGCCTTAAAGAAAGTAACAAGGATGCAGTTTTCACAGGGCTACAGCTTTATGATATTTAGCAAAGCGAACTTCGCTAGAATATGCAATTCCAACGCCAGAAATCTTCTCAATGTCCAACATGCCTGTTTCCACCCTCTAGAATTTAAAACTTCAAAAACGTTTGAAAATCTGGCCACGATCCATGACCATCTAAAACATGCCATTCAAAAAATCTGTTACAAGAAAGACCATTTCTAAGGCTTGAAGTCCTTTATTTCATATCCTCGAGCCAAGGCATAAATGATTGATTTGCAAATTTTTTTAATTCTTAAAACTATTTTTCCATGGGTCCAACTGTAGAGCCTCAGTCCTCCAAATACATTTCTAGACTTGATCATATTTACAAATGAAATCAGAAAACAAATATATTTGGCAGATCCTCAAGAAACAGCTTGCTACATATTATGCATAACCTAGTAAGCAATTCCTTGCATTATCAAATTTCAAGAAAGCTTTGGCAGATACCTAAGAATGAGATGACGCTTCCCAAAAAAAAGTAGCAAACCATAAACACATTCATGGTACAACCCAAAGCGCGAGAAAAGCCGACTGTACATATTTACATAAAGAATTCTGCAAATCAACAGGACCACACATTACCAAAGAGTACGCATATACCACCCCTAATTCTGGGGGGACTCTCAGACAAAGAATTAGGCCTAATTGGCTCCCTCCCCTCCCTCCCCAATCAAAGAATTAAGGGTTTGAAATTGCATGCCCTACTTTTTTTTTTTCTTATGCATCAGGCTACGTCGTACTAAGGTTATGTACAATGGAGATCAGATGGTTCCTCAGAATAATGCAAGACTTCATGCAGAAAGTTAAGGAAGTTAACTTCTCAATGCTCCTCCTGGAGAGATGAAAGCCACTCTTCCATGTATTTCTTGCTCTCTGCATAATGAATTTATTTCTCATCAGAAAAGAAGAGGAACAGAAATAAAATGTCAATAAGCAACAAAACCGATTGTTCATCGCTATGCCTCCAGCTTGTCAACATGGGTAGAGAGAGAGAGAGAGAGAGAGCATAAAAAATCAGGCCAATCACTGCCATGACACTCAGCACATTTCAAAGAAGACCTAAAATTAGAAATACTACCACAGGTAGCATCTCATAATATTCTTTCAAAAGAAAAAGAAGAAACCAGCGAAAGTCACAATAACAACAAACGGATTGCAGATATACAAAGCTCATGAGCAGGGCCTCCATTTCAGATACATGTATTAATCTTGGTGAATAAAACCAGCGAAAGTCACAATAACAACAAACGGATTGCAGATATACAAAGCTCATGAGCAGGGCCTCCATTTCAGATACATGTATTAATCTTGGTGGATACTAGCTATATCTCCACCATTGTCTCAAAGGAGCACAATCTGCACGCCCCAAAAAGCTTGCTTCAGGGCAGAAAATGACCACTAAGGCTAAAACCAGAGCACTGCTTAATCGTTAATGAACATTTCAAAGCATCTAAACTTTTGATTACTGAAGGAGACTCTCAAGGAATAAAGTGAATATAGTAAGATTGGAAAAACCCAAGGCAACAGTGCCATGAAGCCAGAGAGATAGCCAGTTGTCTTGCAAGAGGGAACTTTCCAAACATGAGCTATATGTAGGGGTCTCAATCCCTAAAAGTGGTAACTGAGTTGCAACTCTGTACGTGTGATGCCTCATGGTGCACCCAAAGGTACTGCAAGTTCGAACAAGCTGGGAAAAACCAATCCGTTTTCAATGTCCGACTACAATTAAAGCGCCACCGCAGGAACAATTCCTAGTTCCTGTAGCTATAACTTCTCATTTTGTTATGCTTTCATTTAGGCCTATCCATTTGAATGGGGCCTAATGATTCCTTCACTTTTTTGAGTCAAATGCACTTTGTACAATTTAATCCTCGAACTCTAGTGGTGAGGCTGAAATTTGGTTAAAATCCTCATTGCAAAAGAAATGCTATTTTTCTCGAGAATGGACAATAGTCTAATACCTAGGCCATAACCCCTCAAAAGGCTATTTTCAGGCACTTAACAGAAATGGCCTGTCAAGATGGCAGTAAAACCAAAAAGAGTTGTCAACATTGTACATGTTAGGTGGCCGTGGGATACAGTGAGGAAATGGCCCCAAATAAGATGATTGAAAAAGTGCAAGAAAGACTCAAATATAAGACATCAAATGAAATAAGAATTGGTCAATATAGTCATGAGAAAACAAGGGCAGCAAATTTGGTAAACAAAGTAAATGTGCAACCCTAACCAATCCTCTAAGAGAAGAATCCAATGTATTAGGTGTTGAAGTACACCTAACCCATGTTTGGGTTACAACCCTTTGACTATAGGTTTCATTCAACTCGCTGTAGACTAAATTATTGTCTATCCAAGAATAAAGGTGCAGAACAACCTTCTTTGAAGACAAAGCAAAAAACAAGCTGCAAAAGAAGCACCTAAATAAATTTTAGAACTGGTATGCTCAGGAAAGTTATTTTCCATGCATAATTGCTGGTAGGGGCTACAGAAAATGCTGATGAACACAAGATACAAACAGTATGACACACAATTCCATTCAATGTTGTTTATCTAGGGAGAGATGATTGGTCCAAGGTGTGAAGGCCCCTCAATCCATGACAATTTGTTATATATTGAGAAGTTGAAGAGCAGTGGTTTAGTTGAGGAATATAGAGAATTTTGAGTGCCAAGCCAATTAGTGTTCACAGTCCAGAACTCCAGACTAAAACTTTTTTCCTAACCCAGAAGATTCATTGAGAGTAGAGAAATATCATTTGGTGCTTATGGAGCTTAGAATGATGTCTAATTTATTACAACCTAGGAATCCAACAATGTGACTTTGGGAAAAGTCTAGTTACCCTTGAACACCCAAGGTCGCACCTTGCAAAGGCATAATGAACAACTCAAAGCAGAGGCAACCTTCTTTCTTTTTTGTTGCTAACAAGAACTAACTTTGTGAAAAAGTTCCAAATTTGCAAAAAAAAAAATAAAAAAAATAAAAAAAATGCATATCCTCAGTAGAACACATAGTGCAATTAGTTTGCACAATTTGAAAGTATGCAACACAATAAGTGGAACAGTTTTGGGCATAAAACGCCGTATTGCTCGTGCAATGAGTGCTACAACTTATCGATAATGTAAAGGAAATAAACACTATTAATCATATTAATATTTTTTTTACATTTTCTTTGATATTTTAGTAATTACAAAATAATATGAAACTCTTCATTCTTGTAGGACAATGTAAAAGCATACCCCAAAACAAAGTAGCACAGCAAACACCTAATCTATTGAAGGAAATGAAGAATGCGGAATAGTGAGTAAGCAACAGTCAAGATGAAGAGGAGGTGGCCATGAGTACGATGGCTGATGGTTTAAGAGATGGGAACCACATGTTGGGAATCAGAACCATATAATTCAAATATGAAGAGTATTAAAATATTTATACTCATATTGTGTCAAATTTCATGACTGCATGAGCAAGCAGTACACATTTATAATGAATGGCCACACTCAGAAGTTTTAGGATCCTTGTTGGAATACTTCATTCAGTTTTTCTTATATAATTTGCTTTAAAGCTCTGTATCATCATTCACTATTTGATCTTCTAAAAGAATTTGATTGTTATATTTAGTATATAATTATTCAGCCATTTGTTGCTAAGATTGTGATGGTTAACAAATGGACTGAATAAGATGTGTAACAATTCTGGCACAGGAAAAGAAAATCTTCTCATAATTTCTTCCCAAAAAAGAAGAACACTAGCTCATAATTTTTTCCTAGATTTTACCAATCTTTGAATAACTTTCCTGTAAAAATTCTGGCACAGGAAAAGAAATCATCTCTTAATTTCTTCCGAAAAAAGAAGAACACTAGCTCATAATTTTTCCCTAGAATTTACCAATCTTTGAATAACTTTCCTTTTCAATTTTCACATTACATTAGTTATTTTATCTAATTAGTATTGGATATGGACCGAACTGGTCAATTTTCTGATTCAATGACCAGGTCAATCTTAATAGCATTAGAAACTTAATCATGACAGGCTCAAAGGCAAAATGAAAATACCAGAAACTTATAAAAGTAAATAAATTGCATCTAGACATAGGAGGGCAACATGACATATGGCCATTAAATCCCATGACATAAAACCTACAATAAGCATGATCCAATATTTCATATAAGCATAGGACATTTCGAAAAAGCATATAAGCATAGTGATGCAGCCCAGAATTCGAGTATCTAGAAAAGAAAGACAAGCTTAAAATTTACAAGAGGAACCACAGAAGGGCAAACTAGTCATTGAATCTATCCCTTTATATCTTTTGTTTATTTCTTGGTAATTTTTAGAGTCTTTTATTTCTTCTTATTCACTTGAAGTCTTTTTATAATAAATGGCCATAGTTAGATTAGATGGCTAGACCAGGATTAAGTCTTGTTTAGAGTTTTTTTATATAAAAGATGTACTCAAACATAATGAATGATCATGCTATGAAATTTTATTCAAAACCGTAGAGAAACAAGTGTTCCTTCTTTTATCTCTGGTTTTGCATCTTTCTCTAATTTTGGATCTCCTCTATCTTCTTCTTTGCTAAACCCTAGCTCCAAGCTACTAGGTCTATGCCACATAGGATATTAGAAACTCGATCACTAAAGTAAAATGGATCCATTCTGCTATGAGGAACATACTCGATAAAGAATTAATACAATTCAACAACCTTACAAGTCCCTATTTGATGTGCAATTGAGAAAATTAGATTATCTATCCACCATAACTTTTTTGATGAAGTTCCAACATTCCTTTTTCATAAAATCAATCCTATTTTATTTTTATTTTATTTTTGGCTAAGAATTGTAGATAACTTCTAAACAAGAGATCCCAAATTCATTAGATTCCAATAAGTAATACCACCTTTGGCGGTTTTCAAACCACACGGAATTGTAAGGTGTTTGCATTGTATTATTGGTTCCACGACAAGGGCAACTGTGCCTGCACCCTAAACCCTCACAGCACCTACCCCATCACCATGCTTAGAAATTTAAAATTTAAAACTTTCTTATGGCATCAAAGGATTCAATAGACCAATAAAGCTATTAAGAACATATGACAACTAGCAATCAAGAGGCACAGATAACTTAACCCAAAGATTTGAGTTACTAGGTAGTGCCACTATCATTAGCACTTCAAATTTTCAATGATTTAATCATATTTGAGTTTAAAAATAAGAAGCCTTAGGAGTCTTGGAATTAGTTAATATTGATAACCAAGAAGTACCCAAATGAGTTCGATATCTAGGGTCAATTATCCATAAGAATGGAGAGACTGAGGAAGATGTTGCGTATAGATTAGAGCTCAATGGACAAAGTGGAGATGTGCTTCTAGATTCTCATGTGATCATTGTGTACCAATGAAACTTAAAGGCAAGTTATATAGAAAGGTTGTAAAACCAGCCATGCTTTACAGGATAGATCTTTGGGTGGTCACGAAACAACATATCCATAGAGTGAGAGTAACTAAAATGAGGATATTCAGATGGATGAGGGGCAAAACAAGCAAGGATAGAATTCATAATGAATACATCTAAGAGAACTTAGAGGTAGCTCGAATAAACAATAAGATGAGAAAAAGTAGACTTAGGTTATTTGGCCATGTGCAACGACGACCTGGAACAATACCGGTTAGGAGGGTTAGTGTGGTTCAAGTGAAAGGCTCTAAAAGGCAAAAAGGTGACCCAAAAAGACATGGATGGTAGTGTGAAGAGATATGGTGCCTTGTAGTTTGACCAAAGCTATGGCCCTTGATAGAGCGGAATGGGAGAACAAGAATTACATAGCCAGCTCCAAATAGTTGGGATAAGGCTCGGATGATGATGATGATGGTATAGAATTGAGACGGAATGGCCCCGATAGTGTGGAATGCAGAATATTGTGTGGTTGACCCTAAATAGTTGAGATGATGCTCAAATGATGATAATAATGAAATTATTTGTCCAGTGTCACTAGGCTTAGCACTCAATTTCTCTAGTCAAAGCAATACAAAAAAAAACGATTAGAAGCACATAAGAAATAGCAATCAATATAACTACTCCCAGATCTACAATAATAAAGACTAATCTTGATAGGAAGGAACTTGGAATTCTCTCCAAATAAACCACCATATAATAAACTATAGGATATCCCATATGGAGAGAAGAAGTATATATATCCAATGGACTACAGAAAACCATTGCACAATGGGGTCGTCATCTTCCAAAGAAACGATGGACAGTGATTGATGGTGAGAGAGAGAGAGAGAGAGGGAGAGAGAGAGAGGACTTCGATTCATGTCGTTTTACTAATGGGTCCCACTCTATCTCCAGCAGTGTCCATCATTTCATCAGACCAAACAGACCCCAATGGAGAATTGTTTTCCATAGTATGCCGGATAATTATATACCTGCCATGAATAAACATAACATATGCTGTCTACACAACCGACAAGAAATCTGAGATTTGATTCCCTCTAATTAGTAAGCTTAATGTTCTACTTCCATCCTTCCTTTGGTAATCATAATACCTCCTAGACTACAGTACTTCAGGCTTCCTAATTAATAATAAAATATATAAATAAATATGTGTCCATTCCCAAAAATCCAATTCCTAAACATATATAAAAAAATTGAACAAATAACAACTGTAGTGGCTTACCAGTAGGATTCCCACTCGAAAGATTGGACAAAATGGCACCCAACATCTGATTCTGGGGACTCTCCACGGGTTCACTACGAGGGCGGCCATAGCAAGGGACCAACACTGCAAAGCTGCTATCAGAATCATCATCACTTTGAAAACCAGGCGCATGAGGCTCAAGCCACCCAATCGACCAATCAGAATCATCAGAATCTGAACCTGACATACACCCACCATCTGATGGCACCAACACAATATCGTATTCTCGATCGATTCTCCTCCTTTCATCTCTGCTCTGCCATTTTCTTCTGATTTTTCTCGAAGGGAACTTGGTCCCTTTAAAAGATGGGAATTTCACTGAATCAGGCTCTCTTGTTCCGATATCCAATGGCGCTGAAGGGTTTGAATTTGTAGAGACTGTGGCTTCGTGCTCTTTCCCGCCCCACAACCATGAAATTTGAGTAAAAGCCACAGCCATTGTCCCCAATGAAAATCCTCAGAGGAATTGGAAAAGGAAACCCTAAAAAGAGTAAACGTTCTTCAGCAGCTTATAACTACCCCTTATTTCACAAGATTGAACATATACAGATATATAGAAATTCACAGAAGTGAACTGAAAACCATTGAATTTAATTTAGATGAATAAATTCTCCTCTCTTTTCTTTTGTGTTTAATCAGGTGTTACAAGACCTCCTTTCAAGAAATGTCAACTACAAAAAAATACATATAATAATCAAAAGAATATCATTAATTGAAACTTCAAAGCAAAACATGACATAAGTTTTTATTCTCGAAAACAAAAAACATCACATAAGTATCCTAAAATTATTATTCCATACCCGCAGGCACTCAGTTAATATCCATGCAATGTGAATCATTTTAAAAGTGTTTATCTAATTTCCAACCAAAAATATTTTTGCTTTAGATATTTATTTTGATGCATAATTTAATTCAGAATTTCAGAAAAGAAGAAGACAAAATGAAAACTGAAAGGACAATAAGCAGATATTCCTATAAAATAACAAATATAGCGATGGAGAAATTCGAATAATATCACAGAAAGAGAAAGGTAAAGTATTCATTTTATTCAAATTCCCAAGTAAGAGGAGAACCCCTAAACGTCTAAATCTTCATGTAAGACTAAAAACAACCAAATCTTCCAAAAGTTTAAAAAATAAGTAAAGTTCAGGCAAGGATAAGAAACTTCAGCCATATTACCAAAATCATTAAATCCTAAAATGATAAGCAAAATTACCAGAACATCAAAATGCAATAAATACTTTTGACTGAAAATCAAAGAAAATCTTATATGTTCTAGAGAAATAGGAAATGCTTCAAAGACGAACAATAAAATCACGTTCAAAAAAATGAATCTCATAAACCTCCTCCAAGTTCCCCATGATCATTAGTAAAATGATAAGCACTATTACCAAAGCATCAATCAAAAATTGAGACTTTAGCATGAAAATCAAAGAAAATCTTGTGTTATCTATAGAGCAAATGGCTTCACACACAGGAACTTCTTAGAAAAACAAACAGTCAAATCAGGTTCAGAAAAATGAATCCCCATAGATCCTGATGATTTTCATCAAGAACTACAAAATCTCTCCAAACTCCAAGTTTCACAAACAATAGAATAGATAAATCAAAGGAAAAGGCCCTGCGCATCACAAACACTTCAAAGGTTTGAGCTCAAAATTACAAAATTCATTGCAAATGACCATATTTGGCTATTCCTCCACCAAGGCTGGCATTATCACAGAAATCAGCGAAATATCGAAACAGGAAAACCCAATTTGTTCCCAAAAATTTCAAACAAAAGAATAGATTTTCAATTAAAATTGCAGAAGTTAAAGGCTCTTCAAACTGAAAACAATCACTACCAAGTACCAACAAAACCATCTACATACAGGATGGATTATGAAAAGGAAAAAAGAAACCTAAACCTAGCGAAATTTTTATAAAATATGAAAGAGGCATAGAAAGCATCATTGTACTCAAACCAAACCCTGTACTCCAACCAAACCATTATTGACATGAACAATAACTGCTCTTCACTAAACCATAACCAGCAAAACAAGACTTTCAACACCAAAAGAGAAAACCCTAATCGTCAAAAATCCGTTCAAAAACCCAAACACAAGGGCGGCAATCACCCATAAATCACATGGGTCACACACGCCCCAACGTGGCCCAATCCATAAAGAAATTTAACACCACGATAAATCCTTATCTTCTCAAAATCCTCGTCAAGAAAAATCCAAATAAAACTGTACAAATTATCACCATGAATCAACATATATCCCACACTCTACAATCCAAACCTTCAAACACGGTAAGAAAAAACCCTAATTCTCACAAACCTCCACAAAATAAAATCAATGGAAAGTACACAGATATTTACCAAAAATAGGCAGTATACCTTTTTTCTTAAGCCAGAACTACCATTAAAGGAAGAAGATCTTTACCCAAAAGCATAAGAAATCTGCTCAAATTTGAGTTGAATATCAGCGAAAATCGGCCATTTTCAGCGCAAAATTTATAGCAGAGGGGCGGCCAAATTTGGAGGAAAATTTCGAAAACGAGTCAAACAAAGTTTCTCGGCGCAAATTCAGAAAGGAGACCTCCTCTATATATAGCGGACTCCTCATCGGAATATTTGATTCCTTTAAACTAATTGGACGGTTGATATTGGTTGTAGCTTGGCCCAGTCTTCAATTTTTGGCCGTTCGATCTATTAATGATTGGACCTCGAGAGAATCTTTGTTATTAACAGGAAAAAAAGTTTAACTTTAAAAAATAATGCCACGTTAGATATTATGATGCTGCGTCAGCAAATTGATGACATGGCATATCATGACAGGAGGGTTAATCATTACTCATAACAATGGGATGAGCAATTGCCACGTGGATTTATTGGCAGCCGTGAATAAAGAGCGTCAAGAACTTTTATACTTACTCTTTATTAAACTTAGAATTGTGAATCATACCCCTAATTTTCAAGTAATGCGAGTTGAGCCCAAACACATGCCTTAATGAATAATGATCTCATCAGCACTTGAAGTTATTTAAAAAGGGAGTGCATGCAATGAGACTGTAATTACTTACAAGCATCCATTTTAAAATTCGATAGTTTGAGTGTTTCATGCATCAAAAGTTTTTTTTTTCAACTTTGAACTTGGTCAATGGAATGAATGCAGCCACCCAATTGCACATCTAGTGGTCAAGATTAATTGTTACCACCTTTACCAAAAGTAAATGATGGCATTATATGAGTGAGGTTTATATAGAACAATGGCTCTAAACAATCAAAGTAAAGCACGACTTCAACTATTGTAGAGAAATGTGGGTTCAATACTGGAAATCTTTGTGATAGCTTTAAAATATATTTTTATATGTAATTATAAAATTTAAAGCTTAAAAAATAGAGTAGATCTAGTAGATCTATGGAAATTTGAAAATCTTAGAAAATTAAAAGTCCAAAATGCGTTAAAAGATGCACTATTTCAAAAACTTGAAATCCGTTTTTTTTGTTATATCCATCCATCTTGAAGTCGAGACGATCAATTTGAAGATATTTGAGCATCCAAACCTCTTTTAGTTGAATTTTTGAGGAGGGCCCTAATTTGATTGTTTAGAGCCTTGCACTTATATAACCTTTTTCTCTCATTATATACTTTCCCGATTTAAAAATAGTTGATTTGACACATAATCAAGAAGTCGGAACAAGAACAGGATCAGGATCTGGATCTGGAGGTGAGTGATTCAAGTTCAATGAACCCATGAACCCCCACATTGTCTAGGTTCAATGAACCCATGAACCCCCACAGTGTCCAGATGCAATGAACCCATGAACCCCTATATTAGCTTGGTTCTTTCTTTCTAAATTTTTCTTGTTACATGTAGCACTAATCAAACTCAAAAATCTTGTTGGTCCGACCGAGCGAATTTCGATCGAACTCTAACAATTCTAGGCTCAAATCCAATTCCAACTTTTCGATCTAACCAAATGTAGCCAAAATCTGTGAAATTGACAACATTAGTTCTCAAAAAATTCATTCAAGGAATTCGCAAGAATTTTAGGGCTTTGTTTTTAAATACTTCAATTAAAAATCATAATAGTAGTTAGTCCAATGTCCAGAAATTGAAGTCTCCAGCTCAGTATAGGACCTTGAACAAGCTGATAACAAGTACAATCATAACTCGAAGAGTTGGCAAGTTTTTCAGCTTTGCAATTTTTAGTTTAATGCTTACAATTCGTTTACATGAAAACGGAGAGAAAATAAAATTAAGGATACAAAATATTGAGTTTGGGTCCTTGAAAATAGAAACAAAATTAAGGGAAATATATTAAAGTGCACATAAAAGATGGACTATCTAGTTTTTTACTTATAATTTTTATTTAATTTTAAATAGCACATAGAAAATTTACCCATTTGAAAGGCTTAGGTTAGGGTTCTCATACAAGAGAGTATTTTACACTTATATACCTTTGGACCATTATGCTATTAAGGGTATTTTTAATCATTAGGAAGTGCATGACATCATCCACATGAGATGTAACATTATCCACATACAACACGTTAGTGATATTTAATGCACTATGTTAGTGATTTTCGCACATCATGTACATTTCAAAGCAATGATATATAAATGTCTAAAATTTATTAAGTACAATTACAATCCCGTTGTTGTCGCGTTTGGAAGAATTTTAACCATGTAAATGTAAAAATTTCTATCTATCAGTCAATATAAAACCAAAACTTTATTTCATTAGGTTGGCAAACTCAATTGAACTCAACTCAACTCAAATTTATATAAAATTAATTGCATTCATTAACAATTGAAATTCTGTTTTGATTATCATGACATCTGATTTTTTTTTATTTTTTTTGGGTAGTGGGGGGAGGGCCCTATCCGTGATTGGAGTTAACCTAGGTAGCATTGTAAATCTTCAGGAGCTGACCAATTAAGCATGGGCTTTTTTCCTATTGTCTTCACATCTGATGAGTTATCAAATGTAAAAAAGATATGGATAAAAGTTAGAATTTGTGGATGTATTCGCTCAACATCCATTCCAAGATTTGATTTACGATATAGCCATAAAACACTTGATGAACTTTTACAGATGAATGAAAAGTTGATCCTCAACAACTAATGGAGGATGAGGTGTATTTATTTATCATGATATATTTTCTTTGAGGGAGTGAAAAAGGAAAATTGAGTTATAATGAAGGTTTTAAAAATTGCCGATCTAGACGCAGAATCGAAAACTGCCCTAATCTTCCTCATGCATTATTCCTCTTCTATGATACACTTTTTCGACGATCTAAATCATCACACAAATCAATCTAAGGATAATTATTTTGGTTTAATTTTATTTTGCATGTTCTTTAATTTCAACCGGTATTTAAACACGTGGTGATTTTCGATCTTGATGGAAATCGGTCAAAACCGAATCGGTTCCAAGATTTGACCCAGTTCCCCACAGAAACTCGCAACCCATAAACCTTATTTTATTTTTTATTTTGTTTGATTTATTTTTTCACATTTTACTAGATCATTGATTAGGACCTATCTAGACCAGATTTGGATCGTCCATCCAGCAATCCAATACATATCGATGAACGATACCCACCACCGATCCGAGTTTTGAAACACCTATCTCAACTGATACTCGAATCGATCCAAACCCAATTTAGATTATCGATTCAAGGATCCAAGTTTTAAAACACTAATTTCAGCTGAATCGATGTAGACTATTTGGATCAGTAGAGGGACGATCCATCCAGTTCTACATTTTAAGGTTGCAATCTTATATAAATTTTTTTCATTTAAATTTTTTTTTTTTTTTTTTTTTTTTGCAATATCTGGCCTTCGGACTTGTCTAGCAAGGAACTAACCCAATTTGAAAAACAAGACAAATTCCGAAGCTGTGGCCCCCAAAGTCACGCCTACACCCCCACTGGTATATAGCATTCCTATATATACGTGGCAAATCACCATTGGGTCATTATTTCCGAAACTTTTCTCAAATAAACAATTTCACCGTTTTCCAGGAGTGTCCAATTTCAAAAATGCCCTTCTTTGTCTTTTTGCTCAACTAGTGGCATGCCGCACGTGGGTTGCGTATGCGCTTTCAATCTTGACCATCCATTTCAACGACGTGTCCACATCAAGCGTTGGTGAGTGGAGGCCAGGCTGTGATCTGAACGATAGGAATTGACGGTGGCGATGCGCCTATCATACGCATTCTCATTTGTCTATTGTGCACAATATGAGCAACATGATTTTGCCTAAAAGAAAGGGGCCTCTTGGAAGGGATGGCCTACATGATTTGGGCATGCCAATCCCAGCCACACGTGAGAATAGAAGGTCATGATTACCCTAACGACAATGTTTTTGTTCCAAGTTCAGGGGTATATGACAAGATTTTCTAAATTGGGTGGTAAATGTGGTTTTCTGATAATAGGATGAGAAGAGGTACTAACACTAGGGGTGGCACAACTTAATTGCTAGAGTTGTATTCTCATTAGGTCGAAGTTATAGATATCAAGATCATACCGAACTGGCGGCATCGATCAGTATTATGGCCAATTTGATCTAAAGTAAATATCGGATTTTATATAAAAACGGTAAAAAAAACATTTATTTGAGTATAGTTAGTCTGACATGCCAGTTCGACCGCTTCAACCACCCAAACAAAGTGAGCAACTTCTTTTAATATGTTACCTATTTTAAACTATTATTTATATTTTCTTGATAGTTTAAAATCTGATCGAACCAATTCCATCGGCTGTTGGACTGGTTAAAGCTAGACTAGACCTTTTACATGTTCGATGACCAATCAGATCCTAATAATATTGGTAAAAGCTAACATTTCAAGGGAAAAAAATTGTCATATTTTCCATTTTGTCAAGATCTAGTTAACCCAAAACCTTAGATCATATCACCAAAAAAGTAAAATAAAAATTTGAAAAATAAAATAATTTGTTTTTTTAGAAGAAAAGGAGGTATCCACCCATTTTATATTATGAAATTATGATAAAAAAGAGTCACTTCCACTAGTTGCCTTGATGACAAAATGAGAAGGGGACGCGTATTGAGAGGTATTCTTGTCCACACAAATACTACATTCTTTTGTCTTTAAATAATTAGTCTTATGATTGGCCAAGAACTAATACCATTAACAAAATGATAACTCATAAGAAAGAGAAGCATTTCACAAAGGCGGATGGAGACATATTGATTCAATTAGTGGATGATGATGAAAGTTACAAGAGAGCCATAATCACTTTTGAACAATTATATTGTGCTCCATAAGGAGCATAGTGTACACTTACAAAGGACCTATCTATCTAAAATTCTGGGAATTACCTAAGAATCACTGGAAGATTT